TATATATATATATATATATATCAAAGGGTTTTTTTTTACCTTTATTAATTATTATTGTGTAATTTTTTAAAAGTTAAAATTGTCAACAATAAAATATACATCAAAACAAAACAAAAATTCCTCTTTATGTATAAATAAAAATAATATTTAATAACACTTTCGATTTCTCTGTTATGTTAATTTCGCAAATTTGATTCTCTCATGAACTGATATTGAATTGCAATGTTGATGTGAATGTTAATTTTAGTCGTTCGACCTGAACCTATAACCACATAAGTGATAAAAACATGTACGCTAATCAATACATTTGGAATAAGTAAAAAAAAAGTAATTATTATTTTTTTGCATATAACAATTTTAATTAATATTATATCAATACTAACTTATGAACATTTTCATATTTAATATTATTTGGGAAACAAAACATATTAAATAAAAATATTCCTACTGAATATAATTAATTGAGAATAAATGATTAAATATTTGAATTGAAATAATACTGGCTTTACTACTCGTGTGTTACACACAAGAAACATCTTAACACTATGGTCATTTAATTTTTATTTATCTTACTTTTTGTACAAAATTTAAAAATATTGCCATGATATATGTATGCGAGTATTACACAAATACCTGTAAATTTATTAATCATCCGAAATATTGGTCATTGCACTATGATTTAAAAAAAAAAAAAAAAAAAAAAAAAAAAAAAAAAAAAAAAACTCCTAAATGGGACTAGTAGATATTCTTTAGGTGCTCCTTAAAGACAAATACAAAATCGTCCTATAATTTATTAAATAACCAAAAGTAGAACTTTGTCCTTCAGACTTCAGTTAATTTAAATTGGTAAATGAACTTTTTTGTAAATAAAGAAAACTAGTATAAAAAAAATATATTTGTCTAGTACCATATTTCTTCGCAAATGGAACGGAGCATGAAAAAGTATTCATTCATCTAATATATATTAGCCTCCAGCCAAACAAAACAAATAGCCATAGGATCATCATATCATACATACGCACACCACCGTTAAAGGGGGCTACAGAGGCGACAAGGGTCCTAAAAAGTTCCAAGTCTTGTTACAAAATAGAAAGGACCATAAACACGTGAAAAGGCTTATGCTGGCAAGCCTCCACGTACTTCTCAGCTATGGCTAACAAAACCAAGTCTACCATATAACTTAAACTGCGTCCACATGAAACGGAGATTGCAAAATAGTTAGTTTTATGTACAGCATTTTCATCACTTGCCAGCCAAGGCAACATTAAGGCCTCAACAAAAGAACATTGTGTTGCGGACATTTTCCTGCAACGGAGGCAACTGAGGGACAGGAACAGCACCAGCACCACTCAGTCCACCATGGCTTGAAGATGTCTCAGATTTGTCCTCAAATTTCATGAACTGCCCCAGCTGAGTTGCAGCCAAGTGTGCATAACATATTGGAGCAACTGCAGAGGAAGATAATATAACAGTTGAGTTTCAATCATCAATAATAATTAGAAAATAACAAATACCAATCTAATAAATAAATTTGGAGCAAGAATTTATTACCAACAGAAATGGCAGTAGTGCTCCTCTGATACCTGTCATATAGCAAATATTTAATTTGACTGGAACTGTAAAATGAATCTAATGCAATCAGATGTCTAAATTTCTACTTACACGTATGATAATGAATGGACAAGCTCCTGCATCTCATCTGGAGAGAAACCAACCTCATCGTGCAGCACATGGTAATGGGTAGGCCTACTAGTACCCTGAGCAAAATATTTTAGAAGAAATCAATAAAATGATAATACAAGTTCTTTTGTTGCTTTCACTGATCCACATCCAACCAAAATTGATGTGAATCCAAAACATTCTGTTCATTGAGTTGGTAGGTTAAAAACACAAATGGAAATAGGAATCAAGACACCTCTTTCCATGTATTGGAATCAATTGTCATCAACTAGTCTTACAGGTAAATAAACAGCACCCCCCAGTAGATGAGTCAAAGATGTAAGATTTTTTCCAAAACCTCAACAAATGCAAGACCAGGCAATACATGACAAACTAAAAAACAACAGAAATTGGATTTAAAAGTTTTGATACCACAAGTTTAAAATGTCAGAACTAGGTATAGGACCTTCCCACAGCCTATACACACTACTTGACTATATCAATGAAATGTAAAATAAAAAATAAAAAATATAAATTAATTAATTTTAAAAAAAAAAAAAAAAAAAAAGGTGATTTCTGGGCAACAACCAATAGGAATTTCCAATTTGACATCAACTAAATGTATGGCAAAAGACCGACACAATTTAGACCAACAAATAAGAAAAGTAACAATGCAAATGAACTATGTCATTGGAAGAACTCCTCATTTTACTGAAGGAATAAAGGTGATTACAAACAACCATGTACTGACTCTAGGTTACCTATTTAGAAATAGAAACAAGTACCCCCAACCATTATTCCATACTACTTTAAAAAGAATTTATAGAAACAAGCATCAAAGTAAATATCAGTTTTTCTCTATTAGACTATGTTAGGATATAGAATAAAGGGGATTAGAGTAGTTGCTGATTAGAGGGGATATTATGGGTCAGGCACATCATATCTATGAACGGGAGGATACTAGATAAAGGGAAGGCATTCAGATTAGCAAATCTGTGGGAATAGACCAGTGATTCTCTTGTAAAAGATTCCCGTGCCTAATTATTGGTTCTTAACAGACTATCATTACTAAAAAAAACCAGTTACAAACAAGCAGAATGAAGTTATGAAAAGTATAAAAGACTTTGCCTAAACATTTCATGACTACAAAAATAATAGTGCCATATATATTAAAAAATGGGGATACTCACAATCATTCCAGCATGTGCACATAGGTAGAAATCATAATTTCTGGGATGGCAAATTTTATTGTCGATAACAGTTCCTGTAAAACAACAGGTTAATAAATAGGGAACTGATGGATTCCAATTAATAAAAATTACTGGAAATTCCCAAAAATACTTGCCAGGTGGGACATTGTCAGGAGAGTTGGGCTGGAAAAACCTGGTGTGGTGATTCTTCTGAGCCACAATTACCACAAATTTTGGCTCCCAATTTTCATCAAGAAATTTGCAAGCCTTAAAATTCAAAGATTAGTTCTTTATGACTAAAAAAAAGAAAAAATTCACAGTTGACCAGCTTCAGTACCTCAATGATTTGATCAAGTTCAATATTAAGAACTTGATTGAACTGCGACTCACTAACACCATCCCTATATTAGATAGAAAACAAGTTCAATCATATATGAAAATATTATATCAATATCTGCATGATTCAACTAAAACCAAAACACATTCTGTAGAAAATTGACAGGATTTATACAACAAAAAACTTATCCCACCAGGTTAAAACACAATTCGTTTACAACATAAACATTTACAGTTATAATAATCAAAATGCAAAAAAAAAAAGGACAGAAAATAATTAACAGAAGCAGCATTCTCAAGGATAACTTACCTGAATATGATTATGTTTTCTGGTTTTCTCCTCCCAGAAGTTGTATAGAAATCAAGCAAAAGTTCCCTGCAATGGATGAAATCATGAAACCCATCAGTCTAGACAGTACTTGAACCATGAAAAAAAATACCTGTATCAATACAGCTGATAATACTGTTTAGAACATTTACTAACAAGAAAAGAAAAGAAAAAAAAAACAAACAAACAAAAAAAACTTGACAAAACAACCCAGTTTGATACTCAAGTGCCAACTAATTAAGAGAATCTTAGTATAGTTAAATAGTTATTAAACTACAATTTATGAATTAATTAACCTTATGATGCCTTCATCTTCCTTTTCAGATACTCGCTTGAACAAATTATCTATCATTTCAACCTTTGCTGATTGGGTACGAACACATGCCCTATATTTTGATATCAGAGGCCAGTGTCTAGAGCTGACCACCTGCATGTATATAATTAGGCATGCTGGCTAACACCAAAAGACAAATACATCTTCACCCAGAAAAATAAGATTGGCACCAACATACGCATTTGAAAGCTAATTATATTTGTAGAAAACACAAAAGACCTATAATCATTTACCGCAGCAATTGAAGGAATGTCAGTCTGCCCTGGTGAGCCATGTG